GGGGGGGGGGGGGAGCGTAGAGGAGTGGAGGGGAGGACCTTTGATAAGCACTTCGAGAAATAAATTGGATGAACTGAGTTAGCAGTATCAGACAGTCCCCAATTCACTGGAATATTATACTCCTCCATTTCTGAAACCTGTTCGCAGAATAATATACTTCTGATTTGAATTTCCAGATGCATAAAAGAAACAATTAGTAACGAAAAACTGACTAAATTCCATAATTTAAGCATTTGAAAATGCAAACCTCAATATAATCATCATCATCAAATTCATCATTGTTGCCATTATTGAAAATGTCATATTCACTAGCAGTCCTTCTATTATTATCATATATTGGGATGTCCATTCCAATCAAAGCATTCTGAAGAAACAAAGACTTTGAATATCAATTTCACAACTTCGATGTCAAACACAAGGATGGAACACGAGTAACATGACAAAACTACTTCAGTCAGTCCTTCTATTATTATCATATATTGTGATGTCCATTCCAATCAAAGCATTCTGAAGAAAAAAAAAAAAAGACTTTGAATATCAATTTCACAACTTCTATGTCAAACACAAGGATGGAACACGAGTACCATGACAAAACTACTTCAGTTTACCATCCAAACGACAAATATAGCTCTTTAAAGCTAGTTGTTTCACAAAAAACAAAGTTGTATCACTTAAAATAAATACCAAATATAAGATGACTTCATAATATCTGGATCTGTATTAATAATTTCATATAATTTGAAATAAAGCATCTCATCTATGAATGTGGCTTTTTATTTTGAGTGAAGACATGAAAACTAACTGGGAATTCCAATTACAGCTGTCAAAAAATAAAGAAAAGAAGTGGATCAAAAGAAAAGTAAAGTAGGTGCAAGAGATTAGAAGCCAAGACCTTATCCAGAAATATTATAAACAGATGTTTGACAGGAAGACCCATCACATGATTCCCAGACACAAAGCATTGGGGGTGCTTAAAATGTTTACTAGCAGCAACTTCCATCAATTTCCAATTTAAAAAGAAAATAAAGATTTTTTTATAAAAATAATTCTTATCAGATGAGGAGACAGAAGTAAAAGAACAAAGGCAATGGAATACTCCTTAAACAAGAAAGCTCAATAGCTAAGCATAGTTGGCCAATCTCTTTGCATGTCTAACAAAGAAATCCCTTTGAAAATGGCTACAAAATTCCTACCACAGGATTGTTAGCTCCACGATCTGCCAAAAGGTTTGCACCATCAAAGATTTCAAAATATATATCTACAGAGAAAAAAAGGAAACAAAAGCAATAGGTTAAAATTCTCAATATTTAATACTGAATCATGAATTCATTGAGGTAACTGAATCATAATTCTCATTTCATAAACAAAAGGTGTAACAAAAAGAAAACAAACCTCCAAAATCATCAATATGATATTGAAACTCAGCCCATGAAATCTGGTCATGTGGTTCACAGTGTACCGTTCCAGGAAATACTAGCAAAGCATTGTTATTAGCCTAATGTCAACAAACAGGACATAATGATAAAGGGTACACAGATACTACCAAAATAAGTCCAGCAAAATAGAAACATCATATTATGCATACTAGGTCTGTAGTCCTAGATGTCACAAATTAACTCATTTCACTTTCACAAAAGCATATAGGCACAAACCTCTACAGTTGTTTTTGCTATTTCAGCAGGGATGTCACAAATTAACTCATTTCACTTTCACAAAAGCATATAGGCACAAACCTCTACAGTTGTTTTTGCTATTCCAGTAGGAGAAAGTCTAGCTGGCTGAATATCAGTGGAACCTCTCAGTTCTTCAAGAGGATGATAACCTTGTTCATTCATGTCACTAGAAGAATCAGGTATAGAATCTGAATAGTCTGCAGCAACATGAACCTTTGAAAGGCACATATCATGCCCTGTGGATAGCCAGAGGAAGTGCGACATTCCAAAAAATGGACTTTTGCATCTAAAGATAACCAAAATTTCTTTTAGTAAACAAAATATTTTAGATCTTTCAAGAAGAATAATTATTTAGACAAGATTTGACAAGTGACAAGAATAAACTGAAATAAATAATTACAGCTATCACAATTTAGTGAATTTCCAACCAACACATAAATGGAATTTTGATTGCAGAATCAGGAGAAGAGACTAATGAAGTAATGAAAATATTGTTGTGATATAATTAAAACTTATAATTATAGAAATCTTGTTTTGAGGGTTCTAGGTGGTTCCTCCTCAACTGGAATAAATATTAGGTGACCAGTAGTAAAACATGCAACAAAACTATAATTCTTGCATCCAGGAAGCCTGTGTTAGGGTTATAAAAAATAAAAATAATTCTCAGACTCCACTTAACAGCTCAAGTTTTAGTTCAAGTGGATTAAGAATGTGTATATAACTAAATGAAGAATTAAACCTGCCAAGCTATAAATAAAAAAAATAAAAAGTTGTTCGTTATAGATGACTATTGTATTGATGATATGGATCATAAATGCAAATACATCTAAAACATATTTCCCTAATTTCCTTGCCTCTAATTAAAAGACAAATTGAATGATCCCATGTATACTATTACAATTCTATAAGCAAGAGAAAGGTGAAAAGACTTTCAAACAGATCAATCTATTTTCCAAATATGGATAAAAAATCATCATTCATGTAATGTAAGCACCTTGTGCTGGCAAGATCATGCCCCCTTCGCCCATCAATAGGAAGTTTGATTGAATTGCTTGTTATCCCATATGGTGTTGAGTAAAATATTCCTTCTACAAGACAATTAGTGTTGAACAAGTATGAAAACACCATCCAACAGAAAGAGCATTCGAACATGATTTTCAATCACAAGTCAAAGATGTCAACACGTGTAGTGTAGGTAAGTAACTAAGCATCTCACATCACATAAAACAAAAGAATCCCAAAATGAGTAAAAGAATTAACAATCATCCTTAAGTTTTATCACTCGAGAACAAAAATCTAGTCTCCATCGGAATTTTGCGCTCATTCTCGTGATCGAATTCCTGAAATCAGCATTTAGCCCTAAAACTTTTGGACTCGTTCACTATCCGAAGACCGAATACACAATAGAATCACTTTGAATTAATTTATTTAATTTTGCTTTGCCGTGCTCCATTCCACAGTTCTATTATATTTATGCAAAAGCAAATTAACAAGACAGCATTCTTCTGCGAAACTCGCGCATGATCAAAACTCGTTTGAGCCTCAACTTAAGACTGGAGAAAATTTTCACCTAATCAGCGTTACGTGTGCATGCACGAGCACGAGGATTTGTCGCGAAGCAAGTTTCTCAGATTTCGCAGAATCCAAACAGAAATAGGATGATTCGTGTGTTTTTTTTGGTTTATTGAGAAACGAAATAAGGAATTAGTGGAACGAGTAATAGTAAATTGGAAATAGAAAAGCACTAGCAGAGATAGAAGAAGACGAAAATGAAAAACGTACCAGTAGCAGAGGGAAATGAAGAAGCAGGAGGTAGAATAGCCATGAAGAAGAGAGGGAAAGTGTGTGTATGAGAGAGAGTCTCTCCTTTTATATGACAGTTACAGTGATAGTGACAGCGCTAACACGAAACATGACGATGGCGTGTATATTGTGCTCTGTTTGTGCAGTGAACTGAACTCAACGCGGGTTTCCACTTCTGCTTCTGCTTCTGCTTCTGCTTCTGGAGTGAACCCTTAGAAGCCATTTTTATCGATTAATTTAATTTTAACAATCACCACCGGTGTCGACTAAATTATTTTATTTTTAGTATTATTTCAAAATTAATCTAGTGATAAACAAAACTCTAATACCAAGTGATCATTTTTATGTTTTCATACAATACCATTCTGTTAGGTGAAAAACATTTTAGGTAATTTAATTTTAATCATCAATTTTAGCATGTTGGTTTTACATTTGAGTAACTAAAAGTGGATTTGGGTCCAAAGTTTTAAATTTGTCCTTCTCTAAATTTATGTATGATGGATGTTGAGTTCTTATCACAAAAGAATATTCGGCTCTAAAATTATTCTGTGTTAATTAATGGATACAGAAATTCAAGGTAGAATTCGGCTGTCAGCCTGTCCATGTGTTATAGTGTTACTTTTAACTTTTCAAACATCTTTTATTTAAAATAAAAATTAAAAATCAAGACAATAAAGTAACAAATTAACAATTTGTTTCACGTCATCTTCAAAAAAAAAAAAAAATATATATATATATATATATATATATATATATGTATATGTATATATATATATATGATGGAATCACAAAATTGTTAAATTTATTTTCATAAATTTCTAATAGCTAAAAACGTCTCACTTTTTATATATAAATGAACTATTTATTTTAAAGGAGTAAGCTTTGATTTTTCAATTTCTTTTTATATTTAATTATTCTAATGATTTAAAATTATCGATATTAATTACAAATAAATATCAATATTAATGAAAAAAAATAAAATACTAACACAATAATTACATTTAAAAAATTTATATATAAATTAAAAACAAAAAGGAAAAAAAAAAATATATATATTACATAATTTTGTTAAACCAACTTATTCTCTCAATAAAAATATAATATTATGAAATTTTAAATTGAACTACACATTTATAAACGACATATAAGAATATCATAAAATTAAATGTCTCATTATAGTGTGTAAATAAGGATAGATAGATGTTGTTGTCACATAACCATCATCACGTATTATAAATAAAGTGTGTAGAAAAGTAGACATCATGTAAAAATAAGATAATGTAAGGATAAAGTTAGATAAAATTAGGTAAAATTAGGCAATATGTTGTAATATATTTTGTGTATAGTGGACTTCCTCTTCTATAAATAGAGAATTGTACGAAAGATGAAAGTAAAAAGTTAAAGAAGATTCTAAATCTCGAAGAAAGTAAAAAATTTTCATAAAAAAATATTAATAATTTGATTTCAATTACAATAGTTCATTGTCTTTACTTTTAAAACGTATTAGGATTTTAAAGAATGAGTTAAAGATTTTATATACCATAACCTACGATAAAAAATGAAGAATGCATAATATTATTCTTTTTTATTTGTAATTGTACCTGCACGAGGGTACTCTGGTAATTTTGCTACTCCTGTTATGTCAGATTTTGTTTAGGTGACTCTGTATTTTGTAATTGGTTGGAGTACCCCTTGTACTCCTCTTAATTTATTTTGCTTATAAAAAAAAAAAAACTTAGATGAATTTATTTTTGGATAAGTTAAGTTTAGTTTTTTTAACATCTGCCATAGTTTAGTTTTAAATTTAGTGTAGATAATTTTTATATTTTATAAATTAAAAAATAATATCATTAAACAAAATGCTTTCTAACAAATTAAATTAAACCAAATAGAACTACTTTATAAAATTAATTTGATTGATTGGATTTTTTTCTCAAAGCGATTTAATAAAAAAAAAATATTATTATTGTTATCTTGATTAAGATTGGCAGTTTCAATAGTTAAATTCCAGGAAAAAAAATGCGATTAAAATATAGTTATAAGTTTTAAAATGCATTTTACTTTATTTAGTGGAAGCAAATCTGATTTATTTATTTAGGAGGAATGCAGAGATTGATTGGAACAAGCAAGCAAAATACGACATACGACGAATTGAATTTGTTTCTTATTCTTCTTCTTCTTCTTCTCCCTTTGTCTTTCCGTCTTCACCAGAAGCTCCTTTCTCTGTTCCTAAGCCGAGTTAAGGGGTCAAATTGAAACCGCATTCAATTCCGACTTAATGTTGCATTCTCTCTTCCTTTTCCCTCTCGCTTTTCTCACAAGCCACTGAAAATCCTCGCACCTTTGCCCACAAAACTTTAACAGAAACACCGTTTTTCGCCGCAATTCCTCACCCCCATGGAAGGTATTGTCTTTTCTTCTTCAACTTTGGCCTCATCACGGATTTGGGTATTTGATTTAGTGCTTGATTTTTCTCAGATTACTTCAATTTTCGTGCTTTGAAATTGATGGTTGGAACCCATAATATGGATTGTTTGCATTAGGGTGTTGTGATGGTGGGTATGGCTCCAAGGTCTTCAATTTGGGGTATTTGGGGTCTCGAAAAGTGAGTCAAACTGAAGGGTTCAAATGGGGTTTGATTGATTTTGATCTTAATTGAAATTTAGTATTTCATGTCTTCATACATTATTGTCTTCCTCCTTTTGTTTTTTCTATGGATTGGAGGAGTTTTTGTTTGCTCTGTCAATGGCCATTATCCGGTGTCTAAGTTTGGATCTACTTTCGATGTGGAATGTGTTGAATTGGCCCTTTGTTTCTATTGTTGATCTTCTTCTTTCATTTGCACTTGGTGTTGATTAGCACAAATCACGGGTTCTTCGTCAAAGACTGTAAGATTATAAACTTTTTTAAAAAAAAAAAATTGCTTAGTTGACATTAAAACTTTATAGAAATAAGGAACAGGTAACTGATCGGTTGCAAGTAATGAGTTGGTTGTATCGAAGTTTTATCATATGACAAATGATATCGATGCTAGTGTATAGAATACATTGATATCTTAGAATAGGCATCAATACTTATGATGAACAGATTTCTCTTCCCCCTCTCCAAAATTTGATTTATTTGGTTGTCCTCTTCCCTGATCATTTTAACTGCACAATACTCACTCTTGGAGTTGCAGCTCCCTTCTGCTTTATGATGGGGATTGAATTACATCTAAACAGATGTTATTTAGGATATTAATTTTGATTTCATACTTAGGGTAATTAGTTTGTGTTATCTTTTAGATTTGATTATCATTATCTTATATTTAAGATTATTTTATTTAGTTGGTCTATATATAGACCCCATAGTAGACCTTTTGCAGGTTTTTGCAATTGAATAGTAACCGAGGTCTTCAGTTACTTTTTCACGCTTGACCAAGTGTGTCCTTGGCCAAGGTTTAGATTCGTTTTTCACGCTCGACCGAGTGTGTCGTCGGCCGAGGTCTTGATTCATTTTACGCACTTGACCGAGTGTGCCCTCGATCAAGGTTTAGATTCGTTTTTCACGCTCGACCGAGTGTGTCCTCGGCCAAGGTCTTGAGTTGTTTTTCACGCTCGACCGAGTGTGTCCTCGGCCAAGGTCTTGATTCATTTTTCACGCTCGACCGAGTGTGTCCTCGGCCGAGGTCTTGAGTTGTTTTTCACCCTCGACCGAGTGTGTCCTCGGCCGAGGTCTTGAGTCTAGGAGCTCGTTAAACCTGAAAATATTTCTTGTATTATTATTCACTGAGGTATCTCGTTAAAAACATTGCTTAGAAAAAACCCTTTCACGTTCTTTTAGGGATAAAAAGCTAAGCAAGGAAAAGAGTACACCGAATTACAATGTTTTTCAACTGTAATACACTTTCAAATGTGTTGTATTCCATGTTCTTGGCATTAACTTTCTATTTAATTCTTCTAGCTTGTATGCTCGCATGTTTTGATTAATTCTGTATGGTCCATCTCAATTGGCCGAGAGCTTTCCTTCCCTTAGATTCTTTCTTGCTTCTCAATTGGCATAGCCTCGGCTCTAGCTTGATTTCTTGATTCAGTTAATTCCTCCATTTTCATGTATTTTTCAGCCCTTCTCCTCAAGTCATTCATATCCAACGGGGGTTTTTTGCATAGACTGTTTACGAAAGGTCCAGGTTTCAATGCTGTATTCAACCTATCCATTGCAACAGCTGGGTTCAGGTTTTTTATCTCCATTGCAATTTTGTTAAAACGATCCATAAACGACCTTAAAGATTCTTTCTTTTCTTGTCTGATATTAGCCAATGCCAGTGCTGTCAGTTGGTAAGGTCTGCTTGTGGCGAATTGCACCGCAAATAAAGATGCCAATTCTTCAAATGAATTTATTGAGCCAGGTGGAAGCTTAATGAACCAACTCAATGCTCGTCCTTTTAGTGCAATGGGGAAAAGGCGACACAAGGCAGCATCTTCTGTTGTCAACAAAGTAACCTAGGTGAGGTATGCGTTTAGATGGTCATCGGGGTCCGAGGACCCATCGTACTTCTCGAGAGGAAGATTTCTCCAGCTATCAGATATGGTTGCCTCCATAATGCTTTGAGTGAAAGGATGCTTGTATGAGCCAGGTGTTATTGTTACTCGAGGGGAAGGTTGCCCGGGGATGGCTGACAACTGCATGGGAGGGGGATGTGTTCGTGAGGTTGTCGGTGCATGATGCGAGGATGCCTCATTGTTGAGATGCTCAGTCGTAGGATTCCAAGTTCTGTTTAAACTTCTCAACTCAGCATTTTCTTTTCTGAGTGCTTCTAGCTCTTGCGCATCTTTTTCGCGAGCTTGTTTGACAGCTGCTATTTCTTCTCGTAACATATTCACAGCATCTGAGAGATCGGTTTGATCTTCCATGGCAATCGGCCCGGAATCCTGTTCCTGCTGGACCGAGTGGTTATTCTTCCTAGTATTAACCATCTTCCTCAAGAATCTTCTTTCTCGAGAATCTTCTTCTTCAAAAATCTTCTTCCTGCAAAAGAAATAAACAATGCGGGCCTTCAAAACGGGCCCCACGGTGGGCGCCAAAATGTACCTGCACGAGGGTACTCCGGTAATTTTGCTACTCCTGCTGGGTCTTCGTCTTCCATGAGGTATCCTAGGGAAAGAGAGGGGTACCTGCAAAAGGCACTCCAATGCTTAAATCAGTCCTCGGTCTTAGAGATATCAATGCTAACCAAATTGGTAATTATGAAAACGTACCTCTCTTTGTCACTAGTCACACTTATTTATACTAACCTTAATGGGCCCAGACCCATATGTAGGCCCATAAAAGGGGTCCATTAATGATACGAGAAGCCTTCAGTGATCGCGAGGAGTTGTAGATTCTTCTCCTTAATATTCATACTATTATCTAGTATAGTAATTATTACTTAAAATAAAATATTATAAAATATTTTAAATCTAATTATTTATTTATAAAATCATTTTTAATTACTATTAATCATAAAATATATTTTAAAGCGACTAATTTGAAAAAATAAATAAATTTGGGCATAAGTCTTAATTTAATTTTTAATGCTGTTATTATAAGTCTTAATTTAATTCTTACTATTATTATTATAATATTTTTATATCTAATTTTTTATATATCATATTCATATATTTATTTATTTTCATATATCGTTAATGCGAAAAAGTTAATTCTCCATTAAATGTTAGATCCATTCTAAAATACGTACCAAAAAAACATGTTAGATCTATTAAATTGGATTAGATCTCACGGTTATTAGAGCAATTTCAATGGGAGTTGCTTGTCCCATGAAGCAACTCAAGTCCCGGTTTCTTATCATTGGAAAACTCTGACGTGACAACATGAGTTACTTGAAGAAGAGAGAGAATTACTTCCTCAAGCAACCGTTCTTTACCAGATTTCAAGCAGATTTTATTGAACATATATATTTGGGAACGTTTCAGAAATAATAATGATAAAAATTAATTTCGTATAATGTTTATGTATTTATTATTGCTTTATTTTATTTTTAATATCTACTTATTATGTATTTTTTCTCGTAATTTATTTTCTTTCATTGTAGTACAATTATCATTTTTAATAAAAATTTAAATTTAATTTATAAATGATTAGAAAAAATATTCTAAAAATTAAATTTCTTAAAATTTCTTATCATTAGAGTAAATTTATGTTTAAGTTGCTTAATACTGACATGGCACACTAGAAATCACTTATTTCATTTTTCAATACATGAAACAATTTAAAGGAATTGCTTCCATTCGAAATGCTCTAATAAAATTCAAATCCTCAACAATGACTTCATGAAATTCAAGTGTGGCTAGTTTACAAGTGTCCAATAACATAATGCTAATTGTGCATGAATGCATTTAGGACATGTTTGTTTAAACCCAAAATTAACTTTTTTCATTCTCACGCACTTTTCAATATCAAATCTATGACAGAGATTAATTTGGACACACATCCCATTAAGTTCAACGTTCAAAATTATTTCTATCAAAGTCAATTCTACTCGATTTTGAAACCACCGAGTATTCCATTTTGCATGTTATAGTAATTCATACCCTTGGTACCCTCTCTGAATGCTTCTGAAAAGTGGAAATATTAATTCCCATAACCTCAGGAGTAATTGGCACATGATCCTTGTTGCTGGTTGCTGCTGCTAAGCTGAGAACATGGCGAAGGACTAACCTGATGAGCAAAACCAGACACATCAGAACACTTCCAAGGTGAAGTTCTAGGTCCTGTCACACCATGAAGGTTGATATCATATAAGCAAATGTCAGTGAAAGGTGAATTTCTCAACCCTTGTATCAATCCAGCCTGCAAAACCTTCACACCCCAGACATTCTTAACTGTGACACCCTTGACTAGTGGGAGAGCATGAGGGTCAAATTTGTCATCAGGGTGGTCCCCAACATCACCTGAGATCTTTATTCCCTTCCTTGCATCCTCTATGTAAACATGAGACATGGTTATGTTCTTTATGTAACCACCCCTGCCACTGTTGGTCTTGATGTGGATGCCTATTCCTGTGTTGTAGAGGTTGATGTGTTCAGCTAGCACATTCTCCACACCACCAGAGGTTTCACTGCCAATGGCAATGCCAGCAAATGGAGATGATCCACTCACACGCCGGATGGTGATGTCTGAGCTTGGACGGCCATAAGCAATGCCGTATTCGTCCCATCCACTCTTCACAGCCACAAGATCATCTCCGGTGGATATGTATGAATCCTCTATGCACACATTGGAACTTGAATCTGCATGAATGAATTACTCATATGAATGAATATACTTTGTGCTGCGTGTTTTTGATGTTATTTTTTTTATTTTTTATCAGAATCAGAGTTTCATCTGACTATTTCGTATAATAAGAAATTCAATGTTCCTAATTCCCGTACTTCTTCATAGCAGCTTGTCTCCAGTACGAAACAAGACACAGTTGTCTTAGAAGGGAAGAATTACAATAACCAAAATGCAAAGCTTACAACAATAATAAACAAATAAAAAAAGGTGATCAGTTAGCAACACTTAGCATAGCATAGTATTTGACTATTTGTGATGTCATATCACTATTTCACAATTTGCACAAGATATGGCATATTTAGAAAGCACTTACAACTTACCCGGATCAATGCCGTCAGTGTTCGGAGAGTCACGTGGAGCCAAAATCGTGACAAATCGAACAACAACATTGCTGCAATGAAGTAAGCCAATTTGGAATCAAATTTCAGGATGAGAGCTAGTCAGTTTCAAGAAACTATGCAACAAGTTTATATAGAATTCATGCAAAACTGACAATAACTATTTGCCCATACACATCATGGTAAAACAATGTTACCGAATAATAAACAAAAAAGGACATGAGGATTGACCTATGTTGGCCTGTACCTGCAGTAAACTGGGTGAATGTTCCAGAAAGGAGAATTCTTGAAGATTACATTTGAAATGATAATATCTCTAGAATTTACAAATTCAACAAGGTTTGGTCGGGTAAACTTGAGATTTCCCTGCCTCCACATATTCCACCACACATCTCCTTGCCCATCAATTGTCCCATTTTCACCTACGAAGATATGAATGTGTGAGACAAAGGGTATAGTTCTGACACGAAAAGCATGTGACCTTAATAAAGAAACTTGCACTACCAAAGTCATCCACTCAATTATGTATACATGTCATTTTCTATTTCTCTGCTTTTTCCTCCATAAATAATGAGTTTAATAAAACACTTTATATTATCAACTAATTATAAATTATAATTAATATAATTTTTTAGTTATTAATAATAAAAGTCAAACAGATTTATCTTATATAATGATCTGTGATTGGTTGAAATTTCTCAAATAATATTAAAAATTTTGTTCTTTACATGCTTACATGTACTATCATAATAATATCATATTTTAGATACTTTGTGATCTGGTTACAAACTACAAATTCAGATTCTGTACTTTACACTACAGGGTGTCCTTGAAAGTAGTAAATATTAGATGCCCCCACCTGTGATTACCACGTCCTGAACTCCATCTCCATGGATAAAACTCATATGCCTTCCTCCAGGAAGCTCCCTTCCTCTTCCATAAGATGGCAAGGGTGCAATCAAAGGCCAATTCGATGAATCCTAATGAATCAAGCGATTAAGGGCATTAGAAAGTGAGTCCTTGTTCATATGAAACTTTTGATCTATTTGTAACCACAATATTTTTTGGCAATACCTAGGGTATTCAAAATAAATCAATTTGGCATAAGTATAATAATCATCATGATCATCTCATATTAAACACACGGTTAATATTTATATGGCAGTAGAATAAATGGGTACCCCATCACCAATTGATTATGAAAGAAGAAGACAGTAACGTATATAAATAATTGAGTAAATCTAAAAATGTAGTGCACATAGTGCCATGCATTGATGAAGACGAGACCCCCCAGCTCTTGAAATCCATTCAGCATGGGACCCACCATAGATCATGGAGGTTGTATGTTTCCCACGATCCATTACGATCATACCATACCACCACCAACCATACGGATAAACACGTACATTTATGGACTCGATTCATGATAACCATAAATAACCTTTTATTTGTCACATCTTTTTCTAATACATGTGAAATAATTTTAATTGTCACCACATCTGAATCCTGATGTACAATTTCATGTTTTTTTTTTTTTTCTTCTTTTCCGTAAGCTTCTCATTATATTTGGATTTTGGCAGTCGGTGAAGAGTTTGCGAAAAGCAAGAACATATTTTTGCATAGCAATTTTTATGAATAGGGAGAATCGTATGTAATCTTAACTAAGCCAATCAAAACGTAACGTACGATAGCGAATTTGGTCCATGTCATTACCGAAAAAACTTTGTATTTATAAATAGCAAGTATTCCGTATGGTTTTTGACTATTTTAAATTGGACAAAATTTAAAATGTCTAAATTAAAAAAAATGTTTCTAATAAAAATTAGTTGAATTAAATAAAGGATATATATAGTTAATTCATGTAAAATCCAAAAAAAAATATTAAAAGAGACAAAAATTAAAATTGCAATATGCTCATAATTAATTAAAAAGAATTGGAAATTTAAAAAATGTCATTTTAAAAGGAAGAGTAGAATGTAGATTAAAAGAGTAAATCACTCTCAACATAGTGTACTCTAATTGAATATATTGGAGTGGAATAGCTGAAAAATTTGAAAGAAAAAAAGTTAAAAAAATTAATTTTTTTTTCTTGAAAGAAATAAATTTATATTTTGGGGAGATCCAATTTCAAAAATTGTGTTGAAGACTAAGTACTCAAATATAATTTTTTTAGTAACCTAACCAAAAAATTTCAAAACAATCGTAGACCTACTAATGTATTAGAAAAAGTATAAAATATAGAAAGAAAATTTGATTATTTATTTTAACTGACGTAAAGTCATGTGTCTTTAAAAAAAAAGTACAATAAAAGATTTTATTTAGAGAGTAAATTCAACATAATTACATAAGTGTCGGTAAAATACAGACAAGATAAGAACAGCCTTGCATAAAGCTCAAATCTGCACAACGCCACAATGTCCAGTAAGCTAAGAGGGTGATTGCAAAGAAATGAAATTAGATATGATAATCGTTTTGTTTCAGAATTCAGAGTTTAAAAGAAATAATTTAATTTTAATTAATAATAAATTGTGCATTTTATTAATATATTAAGTGTTAGATTTTATTGAACAATGAGTAAAAAGTAAAATTGTAAATTACCTGCGTGGCCTTGATAACGGCACCGGCGGCGAGGTAGAGCGTGAGGTGGCTGGTGAGGTTAAAGGGTTCCGTTAAGTAGACTCCCGGAGGGATATAAAGGAGCGTGCCTCCGTTCCGTGGCAAGTGGCGAACTCTGTACATGGCCTCTCTAAAGGCTTTGGTGTTGAGCGTGCGCCCATCGCCCACGCCTCCGAACTCCGTTATGGAAATGTTGTCGCTGCGTTGCCCCAACCGCACTATGTTCCCACACGACACCACTTCACTGCCCTCACTCCACACCAACCCGCAACACAAACACACCAACGTTAACAATCCCAGGACCATATTCTTTTGTTTCTCCCAAACCAGATTCAGGCACCCTCTATTATGCTAAGGCCACTTGTTCCTACTCTCTGCGCTGGTTGGTGAAAGCATTAAACCCATGTCCTACGGCAGATAAAAAGTGAGTGAGTGAGTGTGAATAATAAATGGAATTAGATGGACCACGTCAAATGCTACTCTTGTACTCCTTGTAAGTTATATCCCTTGCCTCTTGCTTAATGTGAAATTGTTGGAAGATGTCTTTTCAAAAGATTAATGAAGAACAATTAGAGATAAAATTAAATATTTGTAAGATTGATGAATTCAAAGTGTGTATGAATATTTTGAAATATATTTTTCTATTTTCACCATGTGACTTTAGCATTATGTCATATTGTAAATTAATTTTTTTCAAATGAAATTTGAAAATCACATTACTAAAATACTTAGATAATTAATATGCAAATAAGCCTAAAATATTTTATATGACAAAATTCTTGATTTGTAATAATTATTTAAAAATTATTAAACTAAATGATATTTAAATAGTTAATAATATACAAATATCCACATACACACGTAATGTTTCAATATTAAATTTTCACAAGAGTTTAATATAATTCAACATGATTATGTGATACAATGAAATCGTATCAATAATAAAATAGTTTTTAGTTGTTTTAGATCATTTATTTATCATTCATACGAGAATAAAATATAATTATTGTTATCATCTTTGTATATTAAATATGAATAATTATTTTAATTAAATATGAATAATTATTTTAATTGTACAAATTCACATTTAGACTTGAATCACGCGAATGTGGAGTGTTAGTACTTCGAAGAGCAATGCAATGGGTGCGTGTGCAAAAGCTTCATAAAGTAGTATTTGAGATATACTGTTAAAGGATGATCATTAGTTTCAATGGTGTAGAAGAAGACTTAACTAAATATAGAGTTATAATGTAAAAATGTAAGGTTTTGTCTTATAAATTATCCAACTATTGGGTCAGTTTTGTACTTAGACAAGCAAATTAAGTTGTTCACAAATTAACTAGGACATCTGAACTGTGCAATGGTCTTCATGATTTTAGATATATCCATTAATGCATCGTTGATTAGATTATGAATGAAATGAATTAATTGATTTGTTTTAAAAAAAGACTTTGAAATATTGTGTTTATCATATTTATGAATATAAAAGAATTTTACATATTTTTCTTCAGCAAAAGTGATTTTAGTTATTATGTTTTCAACGATAACTTTTTTCATAGTTTTTTTTCTTCACAACCTCTATCATTTATAATATATCCTTTTAATATATTAATATAAAAGTATATATCATTTTCAATTTATACATTATTGGTATTTTAGTCTATATATTGCACTTTTATCATTTGAAATGTTTATTAAATATAACTAAAATTTATATAATAAAATTTATAAGCATGTAAATACTATATTTGAATAAATAAATGATATTTAAATTTTATATGAGTATATATTTAAAAAATATTAAAACTTATTTGTTAAATAAATCAACCCCTATATGTGTTTTGTTGGAGGGAAATAAAATTATGGAAGGGGATGAAAGGGGTTTTCATAAATTTTTTTATTTGATTTTATTTTTAAGAAGGGAATGGAGAGGGATGGAGAGAAACAAACATCTCTCATTTAATCTTAACTTATCTCTAATATTGGAAGATTTGAAAGGAAGATGAGAGATTTAATTTTTTTTAATATAATGTCTAAAATATCTTTATGTATATTTTTAAAATATTAAAAACTGATGAAATTTAGAAGGGAAAAGAAGAATTTAAAAAAATATTTTTAATATGATGTAAAAAATTACTTTATATGATTAAAAATGTTTTTTCTTTACATATAATTTTAAAGTGCAAATACTTGTGAGTAACCACACTTTATTACCCGTCTCTACCACCCACACTAACAAATATACATCCATTAAATTATTTATTTTGAATTTATAATAGGTTTCACCTACGTGTACACGTGAGTATAAAACTTTGTCATCTCTATTGTTATTATTTTTTTTTTGTCATTTCTAATTGCACTGGTCTACTCGATAGTAAAAAACAAATTTTATTCATTCAATTAATATATTCAACAAACCTTAATTTGAAAACAAAATAATTTTGATATTTAATGGATCTTAATTTTTGAATAAATAGCATTGTACTACTCCTGAGTGGAAATGTAATCTCTCTTCATTTAATTGATGTATTCAATGACTCTTAGTTTGAGGATAAAATAATTAATTCACATTTAACTATTACAAGTGAAAATAAAACAAGTTTTTATTTTTAAAAGCTTAATTTTATTTATAATCTTAATAATTTATCATAAATGTATGGAATTTAAATTAAATTTGACATAAGAGTTTACCACAGTTCAACATATATGATTGATACAATGAAATTATAGCAAGGATAATAGTTTCTATTAATTTGTTAAAAGTAAAATATTTATTGACCCTTAACATAAGAATAAAACATTTATGACTTTTACATATGTTTTTAAAATTAGACAGTTGGTGAAAGCACTAATTTAAGATTTAATAATTTAATTGTAATTTAATTAATATTAAAATAATAATAAAAAATAATATTTAAATAATACATAAATAGTATTATATAAATATAATATTATAGTTTTATAATACTGAAATTAAAGTAAATAATTATTTTATATATTTTATTTTTTTAAGTGCATATAAAAGTATGAATATAATATTTAAATTTAAATTTTAATAAAACATAACGATATATATTAACAATTTTACATTTAGAGTAGAAAATTATTAAATTAATAATAAAAAATACCATGATATAAAAAATTATAAATTAATATAATATCGTTAAAAAAATTAAAATTAATAAATAAGAAAATCTATTCTAATTTATAATTTTATCAACTATATTTTTTATTTTTCATAATTTTTTAAAATAATTAAAAAATCAGTTTTTTTAATCCAATTTTCTAAATCAATTATTGATTAGATTTCATCAATTTAGAGTCGACTCATCCAATTTTTGACCCATTATTTTACACTTAATTTTGTGATTCTTTTAAATTGGTTTGATTTTGTGGGCCATTCGATTTTCACAATTAAAGTTATTACTTGGTCACAAAACAATTTTTATTCATTAATTAAGATATTAAATCACTCTTAATTTGAAATAAAATAATTGAAATATTTAATGAATCTTAATTTCGAAATAAAATAGTTTTATGTTTGTTACATTGGACTACTCCAAAGTCAAAAAGTACTGGTTTTTATTCATTCAATTGAGGTATTAAATGAGTCTTAAATTGATAATAAAACAAATATTTAACTTTTTTTTTATTAAAGGGAGGGAAAAATCCCAACAAATATTTAACTTTAACTATTACAAATGAAAAATAAATATTTAAAGAGTTTTTTGGAAAGCTTAATTTTGTTATTATTCTTCATAGTTTGTGAAATATGTAATTTTTTTTTATATGGTTTCAATTACTCAAATAAAATCCTCTTTAAGATATTACCTTTTTTTTCAGCGAAATGCAAAGATAATGAAAAAATTTATTACTAATTTTTAGGATGTTATAAGTAGTTTTTTTAATTACGATATTGGAACACAAAATAAATTTAAATATATTATTGAAAAAACATTATTACAAAATACAAAATAAACTATTGCATCAATAATATCGTATTTCAGTCACTCATATGTATATAAAAAAGTCAACATAATTTAATAAAAGAAAAATACCAATATGCAGTGATTAAATTATAATTAAGATATATAAAATTTAAAAAGTATAACTTGTTGTTTGTTTGGTTTTCTAACATTGTATCATTTATTTAAAAATGATAAATACTTGCTTATTTTTTACTTAAGAATTAAAATAGTATCATCGTTATTTTAATTTATTTTATTGCTAAAAAATATTTACTTTTTTAAGACATATTATTTACAAGTGGTATTAATATTTATTTACTCACATTGAACATTTCTATTTTCAATATCAATGAATTTTATTAATACATAAAGGTATGAGAATTTGGTTCGAACAAACAAAGCTATAATTAATTTTTTTACGTCATTTAGATAATTTTTTTCAAAAATACTTTTACGAAAAAGATAGGAATAATAATTAAAATAAATTTTTTCATGAGTTAAAAATGTGTTGTGATTTAAGATTATAAGTGTTTTTGAAGGTTTTTCTATTAGAAAATGTAACGACCCGCCTGACCGCCACACACAGTTCAACACCACAACACCACACAGAAAGAACATACATATATCCAAATAAAGTATATACAATATGTCTAATCTGGGGCCTGAAAATATCAGAGTAAAAATACAGCCCAAGGTAGCCAAACTAGTGGCCCAAAAACAACAAAACATCAAAAGAATAACTCCATCTGCCAGCTGCAGTCCTGCCTCTTAACACCAACCTAACCCTGCTCTGCTCCCATACAACGTATGATTATCGCAGTCCAAACCACATGAAAACAACAAAGGGTAAGCTAATGAAAAGAATCAACATATAAACATATAATTACAATAATTATAGTCAGCTATATTTAACAACATATCATTTGGTTCAACAATATCAGCATATAGTATATCACAGTATACATCATTTAGCAATATCAGCAGTAAACACACAATGCGTCGTCACGCATATCAGCTCGGAGATCTCCTACAACAGTTCAGCCTGACGGCCTACAACAGCTCAGCCTTACGGCCTACAATAGCTCAGCCTTACGGCCTACAATAGTTTATATCAGCATGCAGCACGACACAACAATTCATCATCTATCAGCATGCGGCACAGCTCAATAATAAACAACACAGCTTACACAGCAATAACATAGTTCAACATTATCATCTAACAACAATTTCAGCATAATTCAACCTTAATCATCATTTAACATCACATAAGTAACCATAACACCCGCGCCCGGCGCACTCATGGTCACGCCTGACGTGACACAACCAGAGGGCACCAGGTAGGCATGGCAATCTAACCTGCCCCCGTGAGTACCCGCCCGAACCCGCCCCGATTTGGATGGAGAAAACCCGTGTTTATCG